AGAACTTTGTCATTTTTAGTGGAATGGATTCATTGAGTGGGTGTGTCCCTGTACAAAAATGCACAAACACATGCATTGCTAAGTCAGGCAACATCTCTTAGATACAGAACTGATGTCTTTCAAAAAAAATTGTTCGACTGAAATCTGGCACATTTGTTTTGGTGAACGGGGGAGAGGGACTGAGAAGCAAATCTGCTGACATGAGGAGGTAGGGATTTTTTTCTTAACCATTAAAGTCACATAGGTACACAGAGAGAATTACAGGGAACATCCTCTGTTCTTCCTATATGGTACCTGGCAAATGAGGCCAGAATGAGCCATGCAGAAACTTCCTGTTAAAAACAAGCCTGTCAGCTAGTTCCCATGCTCAGAGCCCAACAGCCTGGAAAACAAGACACTGCTCCAGGTCTAGCTGCTTTTGCACAGATGGGAATCTCTAGATCAAGCCCCTGAGCTCAGAGGATTTGCAAGGCTCCTGTACCCCTGGATTAAACACATCTCTATCACATGTCTGAAGACACATCATTTATCCCGTGTCTGGCAGACCGGTACCCTGTGTCTAACAATTATCCAATCTCCTCTCCAACTAGTTATCGTGGATTGCTCAAGGAGAAAAATTAGTAAAATTATTGCTTTTTATTAATCGATGAAGATTTCCAGGCCCTTACCTATTATCACCGCTAATGGAAATGCAACTTCCTTCCTGTTCTTCACTCTGCCCACACCACGAGGATCCCTCCCTGCTCACTTGAAATCTCTCAGACCACTCTGTTTAATTTGACCTCTCTGTAGATTTGATTGCTCTAACTTGTATTAGAGTTACTGTTATATATAAGTATTATTATTCTTGTTAGATAAGTTTCTAGTAGGTATGGTCTATGTTAAATCTCGATCTCTTCCGCCCCCTCTTATCCCCAGAGAAAAGTAAACTCTCTGAAGGCTGGAACTTGGCATTTTGGTTTTTGAATGCCCCCCCCCCCCGCCCAGCACAATGTAGTACATAACAATTGCTTAGTAAATGTTTGATGATTAACTGATCTTTATTTCTCCAGCGTTAGCACGATTTTCTGTCCGAAATGTGTATAATAAATGTTGGCTGAGTTGAGTTGGGAGATCATAAGCACTAGAATCTTATATCCCTTTATAGTTTGAAAGGTATTAGAAAGCCTTGTTTATTACGTTTCTTTAGCTGACTTTTGGGGGAACTGAGTTCTATTTACCTGTAAAATTCAATTTTACCACTTTACTTCAGGGAGGGCTTGTGGAACACTCAAAAGTTAGAGTCGATTTTTTGTTTTTAACAAAGCCCTACTGTTTACTTTTGGCTTCTTTGCTCCCGGAGGTCCCGGGATGCATGTAAATACTGTGATTACCCACGGGTATGTGTTTGCGAGTTGTTGATAAAGCATTACTTTAGCATTATGCACAATGTTTAAAAATGGTGTACTGCTATGGAGGGTGTGTTTTGGTAGCAGTTTGATTATCCCACGTACAGAGGAGTTATCCAAAAAGGACCATTCCTCAGGAACACGTGCACAGGAGAAGAGATAGATGGTTTAGGAGGTTAGTGCAACGTGTTCACACCACCTGTGCTCTTGCCACGGGCTCCAGTCCGCCACACATGTGTACTCTTCCAAAAGGCTAGATCCCGCAACCCCTCTCCCACTAACTCCCCCAGCACACACAATCGCTGTCCTCCTCTCACTGGGGGAGGAGGCCCCCTGGCTCTGCCCGCGGCTCTCTCTTTCTCCCTCCCTTTCCAGCTCCTCTTCTCTCGCCCAGGGCGGAGTTTCCTCCTTCTGCTCATTGTTCCAAACCGGAGTGCCCGCCCAGCCCCTCCGCCGCCGCCGCCGCCGCCTCGGGCGGCTCCTGGGGGGAGGGGAGGGAAGGGGGTGTGGGAAGGGGGGGAGGGACGGGACATACGTGAAGAAGCGCCTTGTAGCCACCGCCCCCAGCCCCAGCATTGCCCACCCCGCCTCGGATACGGCGGCAGTCAGTCCCCTCAGGCTGCTCGCCCGCCGCAAGCTCAGCGCCCGGACTGCGCTACGCACCCAGCCCCGGCTCTGCGGCAGCAGGAGGAGGAGCGGGAGCTGCAGAGAGTGGGGCCCGCTGAGCAGTCGCGGAGAGCGAGACGCGCGGCACCCGGCCGCGGGGACCCAGAGCAGTCGCGCCACCGACCAAGCTGCCCCTCGCCGCGCCGGGGACGGCGACAGCGGAGTCCGGACCGCGCTCCCCGATTCCGGGACCGGAGCCTGTCCGGCACAACTCCCGCAGCCACCTGCTCCGGAGGCCCGGCTGCGAGGACAGGATGCGCTCGGCGCCGCTACTGCCGCCGCTGCTGCTGGTGCTGCTGATGCTGCCCAGTGGATGGGGTGAGTGCGTGCTCGGCCCCGGCCCCGGCCCCAGTCCCCGCCTGGCCCCTGGCGCGCCCTCTTCTCTCCTTCCCCTCCGGGAGTTGTCGGAGAGACTCTCTTCTCCACCTCCCTCTTCTTTCATCCCGTAACCGTCATTCCTCTTGCCAGCCTTCGGGGTGCTCAGGCAGGCATGTAGGCGCTCGCACCCCAGATGTGAGCCCCGTGGTGGGGGCACCCACATGGCCACCCCCTTGGAGACTGGACCAGCGGTGGCAACGGCCACGCGTTGAGCCCTGACCTTGGGTCAACCTGAATCCTACAGCTTCAGCACGCCCCACCCCTGCCCCCAAGAAAACAGGTGCAAACCTTTGCGAGTGTGTTTTAGGTCTATCCGTCCCGGCCAGGAAATAGCTGGGAGAAAAAGGCCTTTTGGGACTGCAGAGGGGCTCTAGAGCTGATGGAGCTGTACGGGGCCATTCATACGCCTCTCGGATTTCATCTTATCCACTGGTTTCCCACCCTCCTTTCCTCCAATCTGATCACTTTCCTTTTTGTGAGTTGGAAGCAACAAAAATCTCCTAATTGGTGAACCCGGAGGGAATAAGAAAGCAGAGGCAGGTGGGGAAAGAAGTTCCTAAGGCAGTTAGTTACCTGCAGGAGGACGACCCTTTTAAAGTAGCCCATCGTAGTCACGGAGCATGTGGGTAGGTAGGTAATGGGGCCGGTTGTAAATAAAATTTTGGTTAAGTAATTCTGACTGGCCACTCAGTTAAGCATCCAGAGTGCTGGCCGTAGTCAACGTGTGAGAGCTCCTTAAGGGAACAAACTCCTTTAGCATGTAGGGACCACCTGGGATCTATTCGTAGTCTATCCTCTATACACACAAAGGAATTTATTTCTTGCAAAAATGCCCCCAGGCGCATTGGAGAACCCTTGTCTTCCCCCTTCACGTAGAATAGTTTTACTTCTGTTCTGAGAAGTGAATGCAGTGGCAGCCTAATGAGAAAGCTGAGGAAAATCCGAAGTGATCCAAACCGGAAGAGATCAAGTTGGCGCTGGGGATTCTTTCTCGACTCGAGGGACACTTGAAATCCAACCTCCATGCCCACCTGGGCCCAAGGTTTATGATTATCCTTTCTAGGGGGAGAAGAGCAACTAGCTGTCTTACCCCCCCCCCCCCACACACACACCCGCGAGCTACTAGGAGTGATGGTGACACAGCAGGGAAGGGAGGAAAGGACATAGGGGAGAGAACTGGAGTTGGTGGGTAAAAAAATGCCGACTTGAAAGAACGATGAGGTTGTGGGCTTAAAAAAAAAGTAACAGCAGAGAGACTTCTGAGGTCTGGGAATTGTAGCTAGAGGGTCTTCCTTCCTATTGGTGAGGTTCTTGGCCACTCGGATCAGTTAGGTGTGAGCAAGAAGGGATGAGGGAAGCGTATGTTCTTTCTGCAGCTGACAGATTCTGGGGAAGTGGAATCCCCACAGCAACCCTCCAAACGGTGTGTAGTTGGGGGTGACTTTAAGTTAGCCCCAGGATTTGTATGTCTGGACTATGGGAAAATCAGTCAAAGGCTCAAAAGGGGCAGAGAAAAGGCAGCCTGAGAAGTGATAGCTATTTGTCCTTTCTGTGTGACCTTGGACCAGTCAGCTAGCATTTTTGTACCTCAGTTTATTACATTTAAAAATGGGACAATTGCCACCCTTGTCATTCACCCTCCCTGAGGGAGACCTGGATGAGATTTGTCTCCTGCCCTTTTAATCTGAGGAGAAGGAAGATAAGTAATATCTGTAGACCAATAACGCCAATACACACGATGTTCAATGCATAAAGAGAGATGCAGACAGTGCTGTCAGACTTTGAAAAGTGAGCAGCTGCATCCTACCTCAGGGTCTTGTGCAAACTATGTTTCATGCTCAGTTTTTCTCAACTTTAAAATGGGGATAATAGTAATTGCCCTACCAATTTGAAAGGGTTATTGTGTGCAGCAGATGATAAAATGTTCATAAAAAAAAAAACACTGAAAAAAGCATAGTTGCGGCACAAATGTCAGCTGATGTTGCTCTTACCGTGAATAGTAATAATAGAGATTCTCTTGGCCCAGAATATCTATCTCCAGATAAGACATGTGGAAAAGGTGTCATTACTGCCCACCTCCTCCACTGGAGAACACAAAGTAGAAATGTTGGATGCAGGGTGGTGCAATGGAGAAGAATGAGGGGCTTTTGGGGGTGGGGTGGGAAAGAAGACTTCATGGAAAAAGATAATTGGGGAGAGGAACCTACTGAATACAGTATGTGTGGAGTGTGAAGTAGTCTTGGTAAGGTAGGAGCCAGCAAAACCTTTTAGAAATGTTATCCTAAGGTTCTGTGCACTATTTTATCTGCAGTGGGGACAGTGGAATACTCATTTGTGTATTGGTAGAAAGAAAAGAGGGAATCTGGAAGCGGCGCCTCCATTACCTACTAGCAGAAATAGCTGGGAGCTTTTGAGGGTGGCAGGGAGGAGGGTGTGGCTGCAGTAAACTGGCCTGCTTTGGCCATGGCATCTGCATGAATCCTTGGTGTGGATCCTGTAAGAAAACAAAAAGATGGAGTGCAAGTTTAGGGGTAGCAATGATTTATATCAGTTTTTCTGATAAAAGTAAAACAGATTCTTTTGTTTGCGTACACAGAGTGTCTTAAAGGCACAGTATCCTTTATGAACCTCATCTTGTACCAGTTTGGAGAAGTTTCTTAATTCATAGCAAGCATTTGGGGTTTTCTGAGGTAGTTGTCACTCCTTAAAACAGAAAATTTTCATACTGAAAATTAGCCCTGCAAGCAATTCAGGCAGATCATATATAGGCACCATTTAAAACCACACTGGGGCAGCTAGGTGGCACAGTGGATAGAGTGCCTGTCCTGGAGTCAGGGAGACTCATCTACCCTGAGTTCACATCTGGCCTCAGACACTTAGTGGTTGTGTGATCCTGGACAAGTCACTCAACCCTGTTTGCCTCTGTTTCCTCATCTGTAAAATGAGCTGGAGAAGGAAATGGCAAACCATTCCAGTATCTTTGCAAAAAAACCAAAAAAACAAAAACCAACAACAAATCCAAATGGGGTCACAAAGAGCTGGATGAAACAGAAAAATAATGATTGAAAGCCCTTACTAGCCCAGGCTGAAACACAAAAGCCACCCCCCACACACAAAGAGCCCTGAAATCAAGGCCTAAGAGTGACAGAAGGTGGGTTGGCCCAGATTGCAGTCAGATAACAGGTACATAATTAGCAACTGCTCTGTGTCACAGACTTGTGGAAATGCAGACAAAAAGAAAAAAAAATCAGTCCCAAGGACCTTGGTAAGGTATATGCTCACCCTCATCTACTCAATTTGGAAAACTGGGTGAATAGAAACATAGAACCATTGGGTAAAGAAGTCTTTCCTCATCTAGTTAACCCCTTCATATCGTGGGTGAGGAAACAGAACTAAGAAGTTAAGTGATTTTTCTCAAGGTCTTATAGGCAGTAGGTTTCTGACTGTGGATTTGAACCCTGGTTCTATTGACTCCAAATACAGTGGGGTTTTTTTTCCCTACGCACCACACATTGGATTGAAACCAAAGTCTTCTGACTCTTCTCTCTACCTTTTGGGGCATTCGGGATGGGGTACTTCAGTGAAGCTGCTTTGTCTAGAGAGAGGGCAAAGCTTGTTCCAAGCTCTGGTAATATCCCAGACAGTCGTAGGGCGTGATGAAAAGATCACTTGATGAAGTGATCACCTACCCTTACTTAGCTTCTTTTTTTTTCCTTCTCTCCTTCAATACTGTTTCCTCTTTTTTCAATATTTCATGGAATCGTACTGGCAGAGACTTTAAGAGGCCAACCCCCTTATTTTAAGGATGAGGAAACTGAGCTACACTGAGGGTTAAAGACTTGCTGAGGGTGACATGGTTAATAACGGCTTGAGGCTTTATTTGAATCCTAGTCTAGTTGATTCCATGATTTTATTCACAGTAATATGTTGCCTTTCTATATGTTAGACTCCTTTGATATTTAAAAAATTCTTGTCATTCAACAGTGTAAGGATTTCCTCTTTTTGTTTGTTTTTGCTTGTTTTTTGCTAGGCAGTGTAGTTAAGTGACTTGCCCAGGGTCATACAGCTAGTAAGTGTCAAGTATCTGAGGCTGGATTTGGACTCGGGTCCTCCTGACTCCAGGGCCAGTGCTCTATCCACTTCGCCACCTAGCTGCCCCCGGTATAAGAATTTTCATAACTCTCAATGGCTTCATGAGTTTCTGATTGGTGGACTCAACCATACACATGCCTTGTCTGATTATATTGCCTGTTCTGGATCTGCCAGTGTTTGCCCTCTGTTTGCATAGTTTTTGACAACACAGGGTCATTCTCATGCCAGGTAGAAGCATTGGAGTAAGACCTAAGCTGGAGCCCAACACTTAGCCCAATATCTTATATTGACACCAGAAATACTTGCGTATAAAAAAATGACCTTTTTTTGTCTTACCTCTCACTCCCCCAGAGCCATTGGGAGGAGTAATGGTGACACAGCAGGAGAAGAGAGGAAAGGATGGAGGGGAGAGAACTGGAGTTGTTGGGTAAAAAAAAATGCCTGATAGTCTCAACAAATATTTCTTTTAAAAAAATTAATACTTTTTAAAAAAATCACATCCATTTCCCAATGTTCCTTCCCTTCCCAGAGAACCCATCACTTATGATAGAATAAAAGGGGGAGAACAAGTTCAGAAAAACCAAGGTAGTAAAACAAACAAAAAAACTGACATTCGAGGTAGTGCTCCAAACCCATAGACCTCTATGTGTGCTCTGAAGAGAAGAGATGCCTTCTCATATCTCTTCACCTGGCCCAGAGTTAGCCATTTTGATGTCACAGCACACAGTTTCACAAGGTGATTCTTTCTTTAATAACACCTACCATGATTTAGTCACTCTGCTAGGCTGTTATAGGGCTGTCCACTAATGAGAAATGGGTGGGCAGGAATCAAAGAACATCTGCTTTCC